GGGGGATATGGTGGAATCGAAGGAGAGGGTCTTGTAGTGTTGGGCTCTGTTGTTGTTTAATGAAATGAAGATTAAGGGGTTTGAGTTTGATTCAGATTGCTCTCGATTTATGCTAACCTTGGTAAGCTTGAGGAGGCTCTGGACGTCTACAAGGAGATGCAAACATTTGGATTTGGACGAGATGTTGTTACTTATAATGCACTCATAAACCTGCCATTCACAAACACGGTAAAACAATTCATAAAAAGCGTACCAGAAACCTCCCAATCCATACAATAAATTCCCTAAAACAGACCAAAAACTTCACAAAGCATACCACAAATATTCCGAAAGCACACCAGAAACCTCATAATGCAAACCACAAACACGGTAAAGCAAAACCACAAACCTCCTAATGCAGACCAAAAATATATTAAAACAAACCAGAAACCCCACAAATCAAACCATAAAATTTTCGAAAGCACACCATAAACTTCTTAATGCAAACCAGAAACTCAATAAAGCAAACCAGAAACCTCCCAATGCATACCACAAATCCCGTAAAACAAACCACAAACCTCACAAAGCAAACCACAATATTTGCGAAAGCACACCATAAATCTCCTAATGCAAACTACAAACACAGTAAATCAAACCACGAAAAAACAAACCATTAACGTCCTAATGCATACCATAAATATATTAAAACAAACTAGAAACCACTCAATGCAAAACACAAATTTTTTTAAAGCAAACCAGAAACTTCTCAATGCAAACCACAAACACGATAAAGCAAACCAGAAACTTCTCAATGCAAACCACAAACGCGATAAAGCAAACCACAAAAGATATACAAAAATGTGAGAAACCAAACCATAAATCTCACAATGCAGACCATAACATCCGGTGGTCGTTGGCCGTTGACCGGTCAACGAAGACCGTTGACCGGTCAACGAAAATCGTTGACCAAACGCCGATGACCGTCAGTGAGTAGATTCCGGCGCCGATAGGCATATTCCGGGCCCGATGACTAGATTCCGACGCCGGTAAGCATATTCCGATCACGGTGAGCATATTCCGACGACGGTGGCATATTCCGATGAGAAAATAACATATTCCGGCGACGAAAAGCATATTCCGGTGATCGGCGACCATTTTCCGGCGACCGGTGACAGAATTCCGGCGACCAAAATTTTGGGCCGAAAAAATAAAAAAAATAAAAAAATATTTTTTTATTTTTTTTATTTTTTTATTTTTTAAACATATTTTTCATAATGACAATTATACCCCTGCTTTGATTTTACACTAGGTCAACTCATCTAATAAAAAGTCATCACAACCCTAGCTTCCTATTGGTTGGAGACTAGTGTTGTTATAATAACAACACAAGGAGTGTTGTCATAGTATCTAGTCCCGAGGAATAAGCAGCTTAGCGCCGCAATCTCGCCTTCATCACCGTTTCGCCTCCGTCCGGCTCTCGCCGTTTTATTTCGATTTCTCCGACAGTTCCTTCTCGCAAGCCGCTCTATTATCGCCTGCGCTGCCGTTATTCAGCTGCCCTTACCTGATTTCTTTGAGGTAAGACCCGGTTCTCCTTTAATCCGATCTCATTCACTTTGATTGTGTGAGACGCGTAGTGAAACTTATTGATAGCTTGGCCAAGTCATCTACTTGCAAGCTTATTAGGGTTAATTGCTTGCTGTTTGTGTTGTTTTCTTTTGCCTCGTCTCTTGTGCTTTCGCTTGCATCGAAGTTTAGGGTGAGGTTTCTTTTTCTGTTCTTCCTATGGAATAGGGAAAGAAGAGGAGGTTTCGATGAGGGTTTAAGGCTGTTTCTGGGACTAAGTGGAAATCTTTTTCTGCTCTCTGTCTGTATTTGTGTAATTAGTTGCTGCCCTTATTAACTTCTCCTGCAATTGGCAGGAAGTTTGTCACGGAGGACAAGGCCTGGACAAGACAGGAGATTGAGGAACTCAATACTTGCAATGGGGAAAAAGAAATCTGATGATGCTGGTGGTGCCGGGAAGGGTAAGGCTGCCACCAAAGAGGCAGCTACAACTGGGAAGAAAGAGAAAGTGTCGGTATCTGCCATGTTAGCGAGTATGGATCAGAAACCTGATAATCCGAAGAAAGGACCTTCTTCCAGTAAGCCCAAGCCGAAGCCAAAGCCAAAAGCTCAAGCCTACGACGACATTGATCTCCCTCCATCTGACGACGATGATGATGACTATGTCTCGGGCGAAGAGGGAAACCAGATGGATGCTCCCAAGAGATCTAACCAGCAGCAGTTCTTGAAGCCCATTGAGGCTTCTGTTTCAGAGAAAGAGTTAAAGAAGCGGGAGAAGAAGGAACTTCTTGCTGCCCATGCTGCTGAGTTGGCTAGGAAGGAGGCTCTCAAAGATGACCATGATGCATTTACCGTTGTCATTGGAAGCCGTGCATCAGTCCTTGCTGGAGAGGAAGAAGGCGATGCCAATGTCAAGGATATTTCGATTGATAACTTCTCAGTGTCGGCACGTGGGAAGGAGCTTTTAAAGAATACGGAAGTTAAGATATCCCATGGGAAGAGATATGGTTTGGTTGGACCGAATGGGATGGGGAAATCTACGCTTTTGAAGCTTCTTGCTTGGAGGAAGATACCAGTCCCCAAGAACATTGATGTGCTCTTGGTTGAGCAAGAAGTTGTTGGTGATGATAAATCTGCTCTACAGGCAGTTGTTTCCGCTAATGAAGAACTTGTTAGATTGAGAGAAGAAGTGGACATGCTGCAGAAATTATCTTCAGCTGGTGACGAAGAAATTGATGATAACGATGGCCAGGATGATGCAGGAGCCAAGCTTGCCGAGCTGTATGACAAATTGCAGCTGATGGGATCAGATGCTGCTGAAGCTCAGGCGTCAAAGATTCTAGCTGGACTAGGTTTTACCAAGGATATGCAGGCTCGTGCAACTAGGTCTTTTAGTGGAGGGTGGAGGATGAGGATTTCTCTTGCTCGGGCACTTTTTGTCCAGCCGACTCTGTTGTTGCTTGATGAGCCAACAAACCATCTTGATCTTAGGGCCGTCCTATGGTTGGAGGAGTACTTATGCAGATGGAAGAAAACTTTGGTGGTTGTCTCGCACGATCGTGATTTCCTTAACACAGTTTGTAATGAAATCATTCATCTGCATGATCTTAAGCTTCATACATACCGTGGGAACTTTGATGGTTTTGAAAATGGGTATGATCAAAAGCGGAAAGAAGTGAATAAGAAATATGAGACTTACGAGAAGCAGATGAAAGCTGCTAAGAGGACTGGGAGTAGGGCTCAGCGGGAGAAGGTCAAAGATCGTGCAAAGTTCACTGCAAACAAGGATGCATCAAAGAGCCGAGCTAAGGGGAAAGTTGATGAGGATGATGTGCCTGCCGAAGCCCCAAGAAAATGGAGAGATTATAGTGTTGAGTTCCACTTTCCTGAACCCACTGAGCTCACACCTCCACTTTTGCAACTTATTGAAGTTAGTTTCAGCTATCCAAATCGGCCTGATTTTAGGCTTTCAGACGTTGATGTGGGTATTGATATGGGAACCCGTGTTGCAATTGTTGGACCCAATGGAGCTGGCAAGTCCACCCTGCTGAACCTGCTTGCTGGTGATTTGGTTCCTACTGAGGGGGAAGTAAGAAGAAGTCAGAAGTTGCGAATTGGAAGGTACTCTCAACACTTTGTGGACCTCCTCACAATGGGTGAAACACCTGTTCAGTATCTCTTGAGACTGCATCCAGAACAAGAAGGGTTTAGCAAACAAGAGGCTGTTCGTGCAAAACTTGGGAAATACGGACTACCCAGCCATAATCATCTTACCCCCATTGCTAAACTATCCGGTGGGCAGAAAGCTCGTGTTGTATTTACGTCAATATCCATGTCAAAGCCTCACATTTTGTTACTGGATGAGCCCACCAATCATTTGGATATGCAGAGCATCGATGCACTAGCTGATGCTCTAGACGAGTTTACTGGTGGAGTTGTCCTGGTTAGTCATGACTCTAGATTGATCTCTCAAGTTTGTGGTGATGAAGAGAGGAGTCAAATCTGGGTTGTGGAAGATGGAACTATGAAGTTCTTCGATGGAACATTTGAAGAATACAAGGAGGAATTGCAAAGAGAGATTAGAGCCGAAGTGGATGACTAATTTTGCAGCAGGTAAGATCTCATTCTTCTGTTGCCGTAATTTGCATGATGCCCATGTATCGTATGAAGATGTCACTGAAGCACGCCTGAACCTTTTGTTTTTGCACTAGTTGAGATATATCAACGTAGCTTATATTGAATATACTATGAATGTACAACTTTCTTGTTCCAGACTAGGATATATATATATATCTAAGGACCTCCAGTCACTCAATAACTTCATTCTTTTATTTTGCTTTGTAACTTGTTATTGTTTCCTCTTGCTGTCGCAGAAACTAAGAAGCATTTGTAGAGTAATGCGCTGGGTACGAGACAGCTGTTGGTTACCTTTCAACTATGAGCAGCTGCTCCACCCTTGTACATTGCATTTCTATGTGCCGAAGAAGAGAAGCGATTTTTTACCATACGGAGTGCAGAACATATATACCTGCTCAGAGGCCTACAATCCGGACAAACTAGTGAGAAACCCAGAACTTCTTTGCGTTCTTGTATACTCCGCAATTTTTCAGTCCAATCTTTACTCGCAGTAAGGAAAGACATGACTAATATACTACTATGCCTTCTTGATGAGTTGTTTTCTTGTTGTTTCTGGATAGTTGGGTTTTGTATGATTTGAATGAACAAGTGGAAGGCCGTTATTCTTATATTCTACATATACACATATATATTCCTATTACGAGGCACGAATCTGAATATCTCTGCAACTTTCTGCTTCATATTGTCATGGACTGTTGTATGTTCTCTAATAATATCAAGGGAAGGCCACAACATAAAAGTGGAAGTGGCTCACTGGTTTGAATTTCAGTATGTCGTCTGTTTGTTGGAAGAGGTTGGGATTCCATCGAACAGCTTCCTCAGCTTCCCCTGTTCGTGCAGCTTGGCGACCTCATCAGCTCCCCCAATGTACTTCCCTCTGATGAAAAGCCGCGGCGGGATGACCCTTCCGCCGCTGCCGCCGCCGATAACCTTCTACAGCTCGTCCCTGAACCCCAAGTCCATCGCCACGTCACGCTCCTGGAACGCCACCCTGAAGATCTGCAGCAGGAACCGGATCGAGCGGCAGTCCTCGAAACGTCTTCCGTATGGACCTTAAGATTGTGGTGTAGAGGATCACGGCCTCCGCTCCACCTGGCGGACACCTCGCCGCCGCCGCCACCTGGGTGTCCACGTCATCATCATGGGGTGCTTCTGCCTCTTTGGTTTCTGGAGTGGCGGTGGAGAAAATCGTGGTGGTGGTTGTTTTCTTGAGGTGGTAAGTTTGAGGTTGTGGGACTAGGCCATTGAGGTTGAGTTTGTGGAGGACTCTTTTCCTTGCTGGTTTTTGACTTTTTGTGGACATGGCTAGGTGTTGAGCTTAAGTTGAATGAGGAGGAACTAGGAAGAGAGGACAACACTATTATTTGGTGTGGTGATGAGAAAAGGGAAGGGGTAATGAAGAATAAGAAAAGGGTTTCTCGTTTGGGTTTCCCGTCATTGGAACAAAGGTGGTGGGTTTGGCTTTATGGTCGAGAGTCATGAGTCAAAGACATTGCAGTTTGCACCACAGGGGATGAGGGACTGTTTTTGTGATTTAAGGGATGGATGGACTGGTGCAATGACCCTATACCAAAAAAGTTTGGTTCCCTCCAATTTGGTTATGTAGGTATCCAGGTGTTGTTTAGTCAAGAATTAGTTGCTCCCAATAATGCGAGTTGTTAAGAGAGATTCAATTATAGATCATATACTATTGTTTGACACACCCTTTCAAACGAAAGTTGACTCGTATGGACTTGAAGTTCGCAGATATCTAGATACCATATGCTTAACAGAACAAATTGGAGTCTTCGAGCTTCGAACAAAAGATATCTCGTTCTTAGAAGATTTAAGATTCGAGATATTCAATTGTGAATCGTATCGACCGTGACGTGGGGGGTGATTTGCAGCTTAATATTGAAGGGTTGTGAGGTCGTATAGAAAGGGAGACAGAGTTGTGGTCGAAGGCCAACTTGGATATGGTCCACCAGTTACTATTTGGAGGATGGTTCTCCACCTTCATCCAATGGCTGATAAAAATGGATTATTAAATCAAAAGTTCAGATCTATTAGAAAAAGAGATAGGTGGATTATGGGGCCTACGAACTGAAAAGCAACTGACAAAGCGGGCCCTTTGTGTCTAACAAAATTTAAGTATATTATAATTTGTATATGTATATTCTGGTTTGAACAAAAATCATATTGGTATTGAACGAAAATAATATTTGTATAGAACAAAATACATATTCATATTAAACAAAAATCATATTTGTATTGAACATAAATACACATTAGAATACATATTCGAATTGAACAAAAAAAATATTTGTATTGAACAAAAAACATATTCCGTATGTGTGATTTGTATATTCGTAATTTCACAAATTTTATTCAAAATAATATACCACGTATTAAAAACCATATTCTTACTAAACACAAATCATATTCGTACTGATTCCAATTGATATTTGTACACAACAGAAATCATATTCAACATTTCCTAGAACTTGCATTCCTCACTCTCTCTTGTGTCAACTACTTTTCAGTCTGTGGGCAAAAAAAAAACAGCTTTTCGTCAGCTACTTTTCTACATCATTCTCCACCACTACTTTTTACCAATAAATCTGACATTTAATTTAATGACCCATTTTTATGGATCATTGGATGGAAGATAGAGAAGAAGTGAGAACCATCCTCCAAAATTCAAGTGGAGGATCATATCTAAATTCGGTCGAAGGTCATAGCTGCCTGCAGCAATGGCAGGTATGGTGGAAATAAAGCAGCTTTGGGTTGTGATTGATCCTTGGCACTTGGCAGGTATGGTTTTTTGCTCCCCTCACGTTAACGAAGCTCTTTTTGGGAGAGTAATGATGTAACTGATCGAGACCGCCAATCACTCCCAGTCCAATGAACAAAAAGACTATCTTTTTTTATCTTCTTACCTCGTAACAACAATTTTCAGCACAGCAGTAATGCTCTGTTGACAAGGAAAAGATTCGTATAAAAAGCACAGAGCTTATTCAAACGAAGAAATGGTTGATTACTTGATTTGCTCTCCATCCGGATTCGGATAAGAACTAGAGTTGCATGGATATTGCCATATTGGATATAATAATAGTAAACCTTGATAGTGAGGATCGCTAAAGATATTGGACTCGGTTCAGTTCATACTTCAAAACAGCGGAACTCGCATTGATAGAAACCGACCAAGTGACAGGCAAACACCACCAGATCTAAATTTACAATATCAACTCTGAAACCCATTTCTGCCATGTTGGAGTGAGGTAGGTACAGGTATAACGTGTGCTGGAAGGGGTTTCTTTCTATCTACAGCAAGCATATTGTGGAAAGTTTCGGAACGACACTGAAATTTACATTTTGTTGAGACACCTGCTACTCAATTCGAGTTCAACTGTCGGCAACAGCGGATCCGAACCCGATGGTGAATTGAAACGAAATGCAGGTCAGCTCTTTGTTCTTTGCATCATACATCTTCATTTGGATGGTGTATGATCCCTGCAAACAACCATTTCACACCATTAAGCAAGGAAACAGCATAGACAGGTGTGAGAGCTCATGTATGGAAATATAACAGGTTAACAGTGTTCAACACAGAACAATTGATGAGCAATGCAACAGAAGTAAATAAACACCTTACTTAAGAACTGTTCGACATGGTATGACTGGCAGATGGCGAGAGCCGCACTTGATTAGAAACTTTAACATGACAAGTTAAATGAGAGAAAACGCATGACAATGAGTGGCTGCTAAAAGAGATGTGAGGGAGGAACAAAAACGGCACAGAAGGAAAGCATCATTTTCTAATCTGAGTTCACGTAGGAAGATGCTTTCAAGATGGTAACAGAACTACACTCTGCAGAAAGATCGGACATTACAAGAAATAGATACCATACAGACAAAGAACATTAGAATGCCAAGTAACAGTATGGAAACTAAGTTGGCCTTGTCAATGAAATTCAGATATTATTCCAATGCTCAGACGAAACAAGAAGTTGAGGCATTCCGCTTTACCACCCTAATAGCGTTGACGTTGAGGAGATCCAATTGAAGAGATAAAACATCCAATTTGGAGAGAGAAATGAATGCAATCTCAGCATGAGGCGTGGCAAAGCTATTCATAGCAAGTCAACTAAAAATCCATGTAATAAGAATTTCTTCTCTGGGTTTAGCTTAGCAGCTTATCATATCACCATGCTTCGTTGTTGGAAATAACTCAGCTAAATAACCGAGCAGCCTATAGATATCATTACGCTCACACGTAGCATGACCGAGCAAGGCTTTCCTATGCTACATCCATGTCATTTTTTCACAACCCACAAATCTTAAATACAACAATTGTTAACAAGGAATGCTGTGAATCTTCGTGCTCAAGTAGACCCAAAAAAATAACAGAATTCAAAGATTAAGAGCAGAAACACATTCCTTACATTCGAAATTACGAGAGTAAGCTGTTCAAGAACAGAAGAAAAATAAAAAACTTACAGGTGGAGTGACTCCAGGAAGAATTTGTGAATGGGAAACCACAAATTCACCAGTGGAGACAGGGCAGGATGTCTCATCGCAAAGGTTCTTAGTCTCCGAATACACATGGAATATGAAGTAAGAAACATCAATCACCAGTTTTCCTCCAGAGAATGCCTTATCTGCACGAATCAATCGGTCCCCAAAAAGAAGGGGAAAACAAAAAAGTTTAAAGGCAGTTTTTTCACAAGGTGCCAATCATCCGATTCCCCCCCGAAAATCAGTCACCCTCCAAGAACAACAATGGGTTCCTTCCGATTCATTGAGAACTCTCACCTGCTGTGGCTTTGATGGTGAAGGTAGCAGGCTTGCCCCTAGTGATCGGGTCGGGAGTGATCTCCACTCCATTCACAGTAACATCGCCAGAATCAGACTTCTTATCTGGATCGCCACAAAACCCTTTCAATTAGACGCAGAAAGAAGTACGGGATCAAGACGACCTGACTAGGGTTCGATTCAATAGGGGGGATGGTAGAATTTACATACCGCAGTACCGGAAGTCGGCGGCCTGAATCAACGGCGCCAGCAGACACAGGGACAGCGCGAGGGAAACAATCAGCTTGCAAGGAATCATCTTCTCCAAAAAGTTGCGATTAGGGTTTGTCGAGTTGGGGAGATTTAAGGATTTTGAGCTTTGCCGGGAAGAGAGCGGAGTTGGGTAGCACAGGTAAAGGTAGATGTGAGCAAGTGACGGAGAAGAATATGCAACGACTTGGGACAGTTCTGTAGGAAGGAAATCACGGAATATATTTCGTCCGTCGGATTAAGTTGGTGAACCTGTTATGACGTTTTTTACGGTTGAGATCGGACGGTGATGGAGATAGAGAATCACGGGCGGTTATGTTGGTTGTTTACTTCTTGTGCTGGATAACTGCTCGTTGGCTGAGCATGATCGGTTAGGTGGGTTTTGGCTGGAATGGCTGAGAATATAAACTTTCTTTTTTTATAATAACCTGTTACAAGGTACTACTAGAGGTAGGAGTGGGCATCCGTTCGGTCCGTACTGAATCAGACCAAATTCAGAGAATCGCGTTCCAATAGTGAAAGATAACTTCGGATCAATAGTGCATTCGGTCCGTATGGTCCGGTCCAAATGGCAATTCGGACCATTTTTCTCCCGTATTTATAAAATTCATGTAACCAAGAACCATACCATATTATATTCGATTAGGTGTGATCCGATCCAGACATCGATTCGGTCCGGTGTATTCCAACCCATTGCCCACCCCTAACTAGAGGGAAAGGGGAAGTGCCGCCACTCCGAATTGAGCACATATTAATAAGCAATTCTTACAATCGGAAGTGTGCCGATTTGCCAGCTAGTCTGGACCTCGTTCGTCGCGATGGAGAATCTATGCAATTCTTAGGTTGGAAGCAAACAAGGAGAAAATTAGAGTTGGGTATTGTTACTCTTTTACTAATTTTGAATCTTGAGATGTCATGTTTAAATCTCTTAAAAAGTACCTATTAATAATAAAAAACATTTGTCATTCTTAAAAAGTACTATTGAATGAAAGAGAATGGATAGGAATGACATGTAAATTACAGAGATTTAAGATGATGTATTTAGACTACACATATAATTAGGAAAAAAGTGTTATTTTGTCTTAAAATGAAATACAATACTTGTATTCTATCAAGACATCAAATACAATCACCACAAAATCATCGTCATTTACAAGACAAAATATAATCATACTATTATTTCGAAAACAATTCAAGTACACATCTACATTGTTAACATAAAAAAACAATTCTTACCCATAACATTGTATCGTGCATTCATAATTCAAATTCAAAACATAAAATTACAAACAATTAAATGTCTTCATCCAATTATTGAGTACCAACAAGCAAGATATCAAACACAACCGCCGCAAGATCATCATCATTGGCAAATATCAACTAAACAAAGACTACTATGGTACGAGATTCGCTCTGTCCACTACAAGGGGTGTAACAGAGGGGGTAACTTTCAAATTATAACTCTTAAGCATATTTGAGAATCTGGGTGGAGGGTTGTTTGCAAAGGCAAGGCAAAGAAGTAAACATTTCACTATGGAGCGTAGGGAAACGTGAAGATTGGTCTCTTTTTTTTTTTTGTTATAGCTTGTAAGACCCATTGAAGGTGTGAATTAAAATGTTTGGAATTACCATTTTGGTTGGTTTTAAATATTGAAAATTTACCTTCCATCCCATGAGTTGGTTATGATTGGAATTCAACTTTCATGAATTGGAAGACTTTTGTTGGTTGGTTAAATGGATAACTGATTAACCGTTTACGGGACTAACATTAAGATTTTTAGTTTAGTGACCATTTTATCATAAAAATCTTAGTTTAGTGTTCATTTCTGTAATTAACCCTGTGATGAGTTTATCAAACTATCCCCCGACGGAGGGAAAAACTGCAAAAGCAAAAGGGTAAAGCAATGACAACGGCAGCAATGTCAACCACGAACCCTAGAAATTTGGGGGAAACTGTCATCCCACGACCGCCGTGCGACGCGTTAGCGGGCTAGCGGCGCTGCTGGGTCTTTGGCGGTCACTCCGTCGTGTACGATAAACTGAACTGCTCAAATTTCAACACAAGTACACAACTCGCGCAAGCAAACCGACGTCAGTTACCGAAGCAGAGTCTGCGATGGAGCTACTGGCCGCCGGACCTCCGGTCCCCGTGTACGAAGCACTAGCGGTTCTTCCCCTTTCTTCTTCCGCCCCAACATCGCCATCAGCCGCCACCACCGCCGAAGGCCACGTGCTGCCTCAATCTCCCGAGCCTTATACAGTTCTGCGCAATGAAGTTGCCCCCGACGAAGTTCCTTCTGCCAGCGTGGTGAAGCTGGAGGCTCCCGATTTCTTCTCTCTTGATGTTTGCGACGATGAAGTCGAGGAGGCAGAGTTCAGTACGCCGAGTGGGGAAGCTGAGTTCATCGGACCTATGGTGACTGGAACGGCTGAGCCGCTGGTTGAGTCGGAGCCCAGGCTGGAGAGTGGATGGTTTAGAGGGAATGGCAGGTTTAAGAGCCCCTTGCTGCAGCTGCATAAAGGTGAATGCTTCAGTTAATTTCATCTGACCTTTGCCTGAAGATTGTGTGTTGTCGGCATAGATGTGATACAGGGGATATAGCTCTAGTTGATTTGTGTTTTGTGCATTTCATTCAGTTACGTGAAAAGTTCAACTCTTTTTAAGTCTGATCTTCATGGCTTTTCGTTCAATTTGCCATTTTCTCAATCAAGGATCTATGTTTTGCATGGATTCTTGTTTCAACTTCCTAGAGCTCTTGCTTGTTGGCAACTACTTACTAGAACGTGTTTAGCTTTCCTTCGAATACTTCAGTACTTGAACATTTGCATGCTCTCTTACAGGACTTGGCTCATTGATCTCATTCTTTCTTCTGAGATTCACTTCACTCTTCACTACGCCAAAGGATTCTGCAATAGTTTCTAGGTTCTTATGTTTTTCTGATGCTGTGTAGTAGTTAACTATTAACTTGGAATAAGTAACTTGCGGATGTTTTTGGTCTGACTTCCTTTTCGACTGAGGTTTTAGCGAACGGTGTTCACTAACCTGGGCTGATGGCGTGCATGTTGCAGAGATAGTGGATTTCTGTGATTTCTTGTCTCCTACTCTTGAAGAACAAGCTTCACGTAGAGCAGCAGTGGAAAGTGTTTGTGATGTTATAAAATATATATGGCCTCGTTCCAAGGTAACTGGTGGCTCTTTGTGTTAGACTGTTAGTATGCACCTGAAAAAACGGAGTTGGATAGATTACATTAGTATATGTTTACTTGACCAGGAATTGGAGGCTCAGTTGTCTAAAAGTCAGGAGCAAACTTTTTCCAAAGACTTGCCTAAAATTTTAGTGTGCAATTTTGATTGCCTAATTGTGTAATGCGGCAATGATCACTAGAAAAAGAAAATGATAGTTCCTCTAGTTGTGTTTGCTTTTTTACAAAGGTTGGTTTCTAATGTTGTTTTGTAGGTGGAAGTTTTTGGGTCTTTCAGGACTGGTCTTTATCTCCCGACAAGCGATGTTGATGTATGGAGTGTGGAATAGTCCCTGACATTCTGTCTTCATTATTTATTATGGCCAGATACTATGAACAACTGATTAAGTAACTGGTTTAAATCATAGGTTGTGATTCTGAACTCGCATGTTGTGAGCCCGCAAACTGGTTTACAAGCTCTTTCCAGAGCTTTGTCTCAAAGAGGAATTGCAAAGAAGATTCTGGTATTGCTCCTTTGATGTATAAATCTATATGTCAAGATGAGACACGAATTAAGAGAACATCTAATCTGTTTCTTTTCTGGTCCTTCAGGTCATTGCAAAGGCTCGTGTGCCGATCATTAAGTTTGTAGAAAAAAGAAGTGGCATCTCATTTGACATAAGGTGTGGTGCCTCATCTTTTACATTGGTACTGTGAAAAGTTACCTGATGAAAGCCTTCTCGATCTTTCTGTCTTAGCAGTGTCTTGTAAATGCATCAATTTATCTGCAGAGATATCATTTAGAAACATTTTGCAAGTGATTGTAGTCGTTTGATTTGGAGCCTTGCGCAAGTGGAAAAGCGTTGGCCTAGTGGTAGATGGAAAGTATGAATGTGTTCTTGTTTGTTACCTTGAGACGCACATTACCCAGCAGAACAAAGACGTGAGTGTAGGCCAATGGCAATAAGTTGATTTAGCATTGTCCCGAAAAACTGAAATAGACATGAAAATATTTAGAACAACAATATGCAAATGGTTTCAAAGCCACTTGGAAAGGTAACCATGAATCTTACTCTAATATTGACGTGGAAAAGGACAGGGGGTGTTTTCTCTTTATAATATAATGACCGTTATAATCTTGCTTATTTTCAGTTTTGATGTGGAGAATGGTCCAAAAGCTGCTGATTTTATTCAGGTTCGTTGTCTCCTTGGTATGTTGCTTGTGGTTGTGTTACAGATTATCTTTCTCATGCTGGGACCTATTTTCCTCTTTTTTTTCTTTTTTTTTTCTTTGCCTTCTGGTTGTTGCAAGAGTGGTTGCTTTTGCTGTGTTCCTATGGATGAGTGTTTGACCTGTTTAGATTTCTATATTCAAGTGACAATTAGTTATCTCTGGAGATAATTTATGCAAGCTTATGCTTATGGTTCATGATCAACAACTTGTATATCTCTGAAGAGCAAGCAATAGGTTTTAAACTGTTGATGCTATTCAAGGATGGAACTCAAGGGCCTCACTACTTGACTAGTAAAGTTGTAAAAAGTTTTTAATGCAATCATCATACTTGCTTCTTTGACTACATAACATTCCATGGAGTTTAGAAAATCCTCAGATTTATGTGGTTAGAGTTCATACATATAGGGTTTAGCCTATACGTTATCTTTAGTGTCTAAATGAGAAGCCCAGAATACAGGAGAAACCCATAACCTGAGTTCTCAGGAAGCATTGTATATATTATTCTGTTGGCTTCCAATTTCAAATTCGGTCCTTCTATCTGTTTGCTCTTGTGTGAGATGTTTATGATTTCATGCCAACTGTCTGTTCACCTTCAGGATGCAGTAGCACGGTGGCCTTCTTTACGACCATTGTGTCTAATTTTGAAAGTGTTCTTACAACAGAGAGAACTCAATGAGGTATTGAAGTGATACCTATTTTGTAATTGAATATTCAAGTCATGTTGCAGATGTTATATTTTTCATCTTACTCCGTGTAGACTGCAAAAGTCATCTAGCTGACCTTTTCTCTGAAATATGAATCATGCATTATCTTTTTGCTTCCTGATTGATGAATCCTAGAAATTTGTGCAGGTGTACACTGGTGGGGTAGGTTCTTATGCGCTACTTACCATGCTGTTGGCTGTGTTAAAGGTAACTAAATGCAGCTTTCAGGTAGATGATTAATGAAGCACATATAGGCTCTATGGTAACATTTGCTGTGGGGTGGATTGTGCTGTGAACTTCATAGCATGTTTATTCTGCGTCTTTGCTGAGAATGTTTATGTTTTGGTTAAATCTCGCTCTTTATAACATATTAGCATATAGTTTTTTATTTTATGATCTTATTGTGATATTGCTGTGACTCTTCATCCTTTCATGCTTGCAGAATCTGAGTTTGGATCGTTTGTCTCCAGAACATAATTTGGGAGTTCTCTTGGTATGTTTTGTCAAGTAAAAGAGATTTTATATTATCTAAAAATATTACAGGAAAATGTGGTGGAGATCGTTTATACTGTACACTATATGTTGGGATGTAACCTTACTGGCAAATTATTTGAAAATTGAGTAGATTCTTATAACTAATAAAATTTGTTGTTTTTGGATGGCAGATACACTTCTTTGATCTATATGGCCGCAAATTGTGCACCAGCGATGTTGGTGTTTCTTGCAATGGATTCTTTTCTAAGCGCGCTAAGGGGTAAAAAACAAAATATTGATTTGAAACATCAAGAAGTCACAAGTCTCTTCCATTCTGTTGGGTCATTCTTTAACCTGTGCAGTTCCCTTTTGGTTCAGGTTTATGAATAATGGAAGGCCATTTCTTATTTCCATAGAGGATCCACAGGTTTATACTAAACTTCCACTTCTATTAGCTGGGTCCCTAACCCAGCACGCCACCTGGGAGATTTTACTTGATGTTATAAGCTGAATTGCATATTCTGGGTCTCTAACCCTTTCTAATTGCTCACAGGCACCTGAGAATGACATTGGCAAGAGTTCCTTCAACTATTTCCAGGTTTGTTCCGCTGTGGTGTTCTCCCATTTGCTTTTCAAATTGGCACTGGTCAAATCAAAGCAGCATGCCAGATGTAGATGCTATGAGCTGAATTATTTGTTTGCTCTTCTTTCCAGGTTAGATCAGCATTTGCCATGGCCCATTCAACTCTGACAAATCCAAAGACAATCCTCGGCTTGGCCCCAAACAGGAGCATTCTGGGCACCATCATTAGACCAGATCCAGTGCTGCTGCAACGCAAAGGAGGGCAGAACGGGGACGTGACCTTCAACAGCTTGTTACCTGGAGCCGGGGAGCCATTGCAATCGCGATACGACCACCAGGAGATCATGTGCAATTGGCAGTTGGACGACGAGGAAGCATTGCCTCGTGGGAATGGTGGGGTTGCGGAGGATCTGTCGTCTTCTGGAAAGAAGAGGAAGTTGGCTTCTTGCAGTGACGGCAGGAAGTTGAGCAAGAAGAGATCAAAACAAGAGAATGGTGGCAGTGACGTTAAGAGGCTTAAGGACAGATCACCGGGCAAGAAGAGCTGGACGGAAGAGAAGGGATCAGCAAAGAAGAAAGCACGCTGGAGACGTTCCAGGAGCGGCTCGTCAAATGGTCACACTCCTGGTTCTTCTTGATGCAGTTTTCCTATTGCTAATCGACTCGGTTCAGCCTCACTGGTGTGCCGTAACCTGCAACATGATGTGGAAGTGCGGGGCTTGCATTGTGCGTGCTGCTCTTTCATGGTTAGTGTCTAATTTGGTTTTCTAGGTGACAGGAAACCAAGCTTTACTAGCATAGGTTGTATGTTTCAAAAGTTTTCTGATTATGGTTTCAGTAATTTAAATAAAATATGGCCAAAGCAAAACTAGAAGAGGAAAAGAAAAGAATGCGTAAATCAGATAGAATTGGCCTGGTTGGCTCTGCTTTTTCTTCCATGATATCAGCAAATCTAAACCTTCAGGAGTCCATTATTTCCCCGTAGGGATGACGATTTGAATTTGACAAGCGTTGCTAACTGCTAAGTCTGTTGTGACCCATTTTGCACCGGTTTTACTACCCTAAGTACAGAATGATAAAAACTCTCCCAACACTACATCATCGATATCTTGTGTTGGGCCATTGATGTACTATAAGTACTACTCCAAAAGGCATCGATAGAATAGAAATACTTCCAAAGGTTATAAAATGCACAAAGGGACCAATAATAAGCAAAACCATAGTGAAATGGTTAAAAATGCCTGATAATAGCGCGAATGTTGCTAAGAAAAGTGTATGATACACAAATTTTTTGAAGTGTCATCATTTCCATTTCCTCTTATGATAAAAAGCTGCTTCTCTAATTCCATGAGTAAAACTTTTCTCGACCAACTAGGAATCCTAATTGCATAAGGATATCCTAATAGTTATCCGATTAACGTGGTAATCCTTATTGTATAAGGAATCCTAATCTTACTCGGATGAGTTAACCTTCCTCCTATCACCTCTAGATCCTGGGAATGGATCAGGTCAGTAACCTTATGGTGAGTAACCCGCCCACATCAGCATGACATCAGCATCCTCTCTCTCATGGAAAGCCTTTAATTTTCCCCTCCTTAATCTTTGACGGACGATTTCTCACTCGTTTTAAGTCGAAATTTAATTTTTTTGCACAGTTAGATCAGATTAATTGTGCTCTTCAAAATGATATCCACTTTGATATATTTTTCGAACAAAAAAAAATTGAGCCATTTTTTACCAGTCTATACCATATGGTATTGACTGGTATTGAAATGAGAGCATACCTATGGTTTGAAAAGCGTACCATGGTGGTATGAACAAACCAAGACTGTAGGATGATTGAATACATGATAGTAGAAGTATATTAATTGTCATTTACGACTTTTAACATTGTATACCATAAGATACCATAAAATACCACCCAGTACCAGGGTGGTATTGTATGGTATTTGGTGGTATTTTTTGGTCTTGTAATTTGTTCACCCAGAAATTTGTAGATCCAATAGATCATGATGAACTCGTCCCTGCTGTGCAAACGTTTTCAAAAACGAATGAAAAACGAAGAAGATACCATATGGTATGCAGTTGGTACCGAGAGGCCAAAAAAAATTTTCCCTAAAAAATATTGAAAATTGATCTCATTTTATAGAGCACGATGAACTCGTTCCATCTGTGCAAAAAAAATTAAAATCCGAGTTTAAACGAAAAAGATATGAGTCAATTAAGAAAGCTAGTGAAAATAAAAATTGCCTTTAATTCTCCATCCTTAGATCTGGATTTTCTAAATGAAGGGTCCAGATTTGGTTATTGATGGGTGCATAACCATGGGTTATGCACCCTATCTTGAGCCCTAGATCCTCCTCATCATGTCCATGATGTGTGATCCATTAAACAAGCTTGTTTCATTGGCAATGAGCCTGTGGTCATAGAAATTGAGTGGTGCATAGTAGTACATCAATGGCACCCAAGTCAACAAGGGGGAAGGAACTTGACCATCCTCTTGTGAACATGTTGTGAAGTATGTATTTCTCGTAACACTATATCATGATGAGATCCAAACAATGTATATGTAGTGCTTGTTATAGATCAATCTTTGCACAGTTACCATGTCTACTTAGTTCAAGCTCAAATGAATCACATAATTTAGCATGGGGTTGACCAGCCACTTCATAAACATTATCCATTGAAGGACCTGACAATATATATCTTACTTCTTTACACAAGAGGAACAAACTTTATCTTATTATTGCCAAATCCATTTCATGCTTCAAATCCGTGCACAAAGACTACCCACTTGATGAACTTCTTAAGGCACCAGACAAAATATCAAAGTAAGACTCTAAACTCTAAGATGTAAGTAACTCCTTACAAGATCAAGCCTAAGAACACGAAAGAGTGCAAGGTAGACTAAGCAACCATTTGAATCAAACAATCGTATTAACCAAATCATTGAGTTCACATGTTTAGAACCTCTAGGGTTCTCATACCTACTCAACTAAGGAACTTAGACAGTCATGGAGAGAGATTTCTAGATGTTCATCAATGGAAATGAAGACTCCAGGAGGCCATAGGGATTGGCGGCTGGAATAGAGAAATCAGACCCTAGGGCGCTGATTCGCCGCCGAGTTTTCCTAGTAGGTGGCGTCACTCTAAGTCAAGAGGCTTGCTCTGACGGCAGAGTAACGACCATTCCTTAACCCTCCCCTTTCAAACTCTACTTCTAGAGCTCTATCTACAGATCTTCGATTAAGCTTTCTGAGGAGGAAAACTTGCCCCTTTTGCGTCATTCGGCCAATCAGAGCACTCCAAACACGTGGCCAGCGAATCTAGATGCTCCATGATAACTTCTTGACAAGTGGACAACTCTCCTAAACAACACTATGGCTGCCTTATCTCTTCACTAAAACGGCGTTCCAGATGCCATTTTTCCTTGACGCCAGTCTTCGAATCCCGACTCCAGCAACTTGGGCTCGATGTCCCCTATGACTTCCAAGTGGCCGACTAGGCTGCTTTGCCCTTACAATGCAGAAACGCTACAAAAAACGCATTAATAGTATAAAAGCAATAATTGGGTTTCCAGAACGCCCTTGACGCAATCAATAATTCAACGTATTATATAAAAGCAATCCTTGGGTTTCCGGCACGCACTTGACCGCATTTTGAATATGCCAATACACAACTTATCATATATATAATATTTGAAAGGTCAACCATTCTTATTTAAATACGTGTTATTTTTCATACCCGATTAGCTATTAAACCTAATTTACTATTCTCTTCCCGATCCAGGATGGATCCCGGGACCTACCCTCTCACCCTCTCCTCCGCCCCTGTCTAGAATATATGCTTTCACGCGTCATCAACAACCTGCCTGAAGGTAGATGACCAAGAAGCAACTATTCGTGTATATATATGATCCATCTATATGCCTAGGCTGAACCATCATCGACAACAAGTGTACCTTGATCCTTTTTTACCATGTAAAGAGAGGATATTGTGGATAGTAAAAGAAACACAGTGTTTATGTTTTCTTGAATTTTATGGTTGTCTCCAATATCTCAAAGTTCCAATCTAGATTAGTCCAGTTCATGTATAAATATCTTAAAGTTCTAATATTCCTTGAAAATAACAAGCAATATTAGAGTGACATTGCTAATGGTGTGTTTAAATGAGATAGCAATGAAAGTGCATTATGTGTTTGAGTTTGCACACACCAATTTTCCATGAATCATGAAGTAGAATTGTGCATGCCATTTGTAGAATTGAACAAGTTTTGTGCCCACTTGATGGGTGGCGATTTCCATTGGTTTATTATTTGTCATTTTTCTGTAATAATTTGGGGCTCCTACTTCTTTTTATATGAATTTATTGTAAGCTAAAATACATTGTTGGTTACTCGAATTACATAAATTTTCACGTTTGTCATCAGAATTATTTTTCTTTCTTATTAATCATGATTAACTTTATAATTCGTTTCACCGCCAGTCACCGACCTTCAGTCCGACTCTGTTAACACCATCATAATTTTGATGATGTGGCAAACGAGACTGCTAACTAGGACTTTAACTTAGTGACATGTGAATTAAAAAAAGAATGCAATTGTCGTGTATCCCGGTGACACATGGCTGAACTATTTTTATCTAGTTTAGTAATTTCATGATATATGAAAATGTTACATGAATACGTGATTTTGACCTAATCTTTTCAACTATACATATCAAGTCAACGTTTTTACTTAACAATACTATTCCCAGATACCGTAGTAAGCATACAAAATGTTGTTATCATTTTGCTAAAATGAAATATAAGTGTATTAGTTCATATATTCATGATAGTTACCTACAAAAATAACATTATATTCTTGGTTTTTAGAATATGAAAGAAGATTATTCTTTATTTTCTCGTTTTTTATTTGAAATGAAGATATGATATGAAAGTTAAATACTATTTTAGATTTTGTAACAAAAATATTTATGCTTTTTACTTTATTTTTATTCATGATTCTGTTCAAACATTTGTAAACGATTATTAAACATATTATGAAGTAAAAATTACAAAATTTTATTTTTTAGTTAGAAAGACCCTCTCTTTGTCTCCGCTTGCATTGAGCAGTTTTGATTTTTGTGGCAAAAGGTTTCTCCGTAGTTGTCATAATATAAGTTAGGGTAATGTCTATTTTTTATCCAAACCTTTTTCAGATTTTTTTATATTATCCAAACCTATCGAAATACTAAGAATTAGCCAAATGTTAACTTCCAGTTAACAATTTGGAAGGAGGCTATACCTACTCACTAATGGGAGCAAAGCCAGTTCACCATTGTCTTTGACAACTGCAAAATTGGATGTGTGCTTTCATTCAGCGATCACCATTTCTCTAATCTCTTCCGATTCTGGGCAACCACACCCGTACAAATTTCGACCTATATATATATGGTGGCGTCTTCATTGCACTCACTTTTTTGGGTGCATTCAGTGCACTCACTTCATCACTTATGACGTGATGAACAATAACGCACATGAATTTGCACAAAAACCATTAAAGATTTACTTTAATTTGAGGGATTTAGAGTTTAGAGATTTAGGATTAGGTTTAGGGATAGAACTCAAAATTGGAGGTCTAGGGCTTAGGGTAATCCGCTAATTAGTTATTATCATACGTTATATCATCATATTAAACTAATTCTACAAATTAAATTCAAAATTCGACACCTTAATACTAGTTTTTGAGTTGGGTGCATTGAACGCACTCATTTTTGTGAGTGCACCGAAGTAGTCACCTATATGATGATATAGGTGACTACGGTACTCAGGGTGAAATCCGGGGTACCGCATACCTTGAGTAAGAAAATGCTATCCAGAACTTGAATTGACTGATCTTTCGGACATGATACTATATATGCTCTAACCCTTAAAGATCAAAATCTAGGTCTTAATTCTCCAAATCTTATACCCCATGATCAATTTAATTAGAAAAAATAATCGACGGTTATGATTCGTCCAAATATAGGCAAAAAAATCAATGCACCACCATAGGGTTTATAGTTTATGATTTAGATAATTAGGACCTAGGGTTCACTCATTAAGTGTTAGAGTATAGTATCATGCCCAAAAATTTTGTTGATTCGAGGTCTAGATAGCGTTTTCATACTCAAAGTATGCGATACCCTGTATTTCACCCGGGGTATCGTAGAAGACACCGGATGAAAACTTCCCAACAACTGTAATTAACTTTCCACTACCAATGAATTTTTGTTGTTGTTATGAATCAAGTATTGGGTCAAGTGTATGATTCAGAAACAACCGAAAAAGGAAATAATGGAATCTGAGGGCCAGGTACTGCACATATATTATTGGAGCATAATTTTCTTATAATGTTGGTGGGTGAGAGACTTACAGTGAATGTTTTTATATTTGGGGGCCAATTATTACTATTGTTTGTTTTACTCAAGTTCTCTTTAACAAATGTGCTCTGTTGCCATTCTTGTATATAGAGTTTCTTGTCGCCATTGGTGGCCAACGGATAAAAACTATGGTCCATAAAAAGTACAGGATATCGTACCGGAAAAGTCAGTGGTATGATATTTTATGATAAAATCGTGGTTTAACCGTAAGACCGTTAAATACTGCCTACCGGTTTAGCCTCCGATACTAGTATTTTGTGGTTGAACTGCCGATACGGTACGGTTTCATGAACCATGATAAAAACACCAAATAAATAAGCTTTCTCCAGAACCATTAATTAGAACTATAACAGAAAATATACGTATTTAAGTTAATAACTCTCTATAATAAGAGAATGAGATTCAAACCATTCTAGCTCATCAATATCATGTAATTAATAAGCAAGCAAATCAGTTTTGATTAATTAAAGAAAACCTGGAATCTGATCAGTAAGCTAGAAAGTAATTTCATTTAATTCACTCTAGCTCTACAATTTACATATATGTTCCAAAATATTGTGTATGCCACATGAAAATGCTTTCATCCTCTTCGGAAGAAATATTAAACCACTAAAGTAAAAAATGATGGATCTCCGTTTATCCGCGTGGCCTGCTGGCAAGAGGGACGACCTCGGCGAGAGGCGTGGAGAGAGGGGACGGAAACGGCGACGTTCTGCAGACGGGACACGTGGGGTGCTTGAGGAGCCACGGATCCACGCACTTGAGGTGGAAGAGATGGCCGCAGTCCGGCAGGAGCCGGAGGACGTCGGAGTTCCTGTAGTCCGCCAAGCAAATCGAGCAACACGACGCCGTCGTGTCCTTCTTCCGCCGCTTGGCTTCCGCGTAGAGCAGCTTCGGGCAGCTCTTCAGCGTCGCCTCGTCCAACCCGATCTCGATCGCCACGTGGCCCTGATGATGCGGGCCCACAGTACTGGATTCCGCCGCCGATCTTCTTTGGGGTGAGGCGGCGACGGCGGCGGCGGCGGCGGAGGAGGAGTGGTGGCTGTTGTTGTTGTTGTTGCGGGCGCAGAAGTAGGAGGCGAGAGTGATGGTGGTGATTAGGAGGAGGATGCCGAAGGAGATTCCGATTCCGTACCCGAACCCGCCGATGTTCTGGGATCCGAGGAATCCGCCGCCGCCGGCGGTGCTGTTGTTGTTGGGATTCATCGCCGGTGGGGGAATTTGAGAGGCTTTTTTATAGAAAGTCAACTTGTCGCTTTTGGGTGCATGAGGTTGGTCTTGGACTTCATTGCTATTGACTAATTAATATGAAGAAATTAAAAATAAAAAAATCTTCGGTTTTGATTAGGGAAATATAATGGTTCGTTAATTACTTTACTTGCGTTGGCCGTTGAGGGAGAAGTTGCGTGTGGATTTATTTAAAGTGGGGTATAATTAAAAATCTTGTTGCGTGCTAATGAGTGAAGCTCCATTGATTAATTAACTTGTAAAATACGTGTTATCTAATATCGAAATGGAAAAGAACACTTCAACTATATGTAGTAGTAATAGATGCTCACTTTGTACCTTTCTCTTATGATTAAATCACTTTTTTATTATTTCCGAACAAGGTCGTGGCGGAGTGGTCTAACTGCTGGTTTTCAGCTTGGAGCTCCCAAGTTTGAATCTCAAAGGGCGACGCTCGTTTCCCCCTCGCCGAACGCTCCAGTAGCATTGATAGTTAATCAGTTAGTTGAAACCCAAAAAGAATCCCCAGTTCCCACCCCTTCTTGAAAATGACCTTATTGTAGAAAACCAGCACCTCCACAAATCCAACTCCAAGTGAAGGGCAAAAACAAAGGAAATGAATGCACGGAACTTAAAGCTGAAGCATCAATATGTGTGCGACAGAGAGAAGCAACCTGTTCGAGGTGACCCTGGGGGAAGTAATAGACACGACTTCCAACCTGAGGTAAGGAAACTAGTCGGCTAGCACAGGCGTACCAGTGCTCTGTGTTTATTTTTGTTCCTTGCATTTGTCCTCTACAGCAAGGGCGGAGCTAGGATATGAGGTTTGGGGGGGGGGGGGGGCGAAATTTGTTTTGTTTACTATCAAGAAAATGCGAACTATATGAACAAAAAATTAAATTTCCACGATATTATGTTATAAATAAGTTATTAGATTATATAAAGGAAATAATAAATCATGCATTCCAATGTATAGCATGTCCTCCAATATTTTTATATCTGGAAAATACCTATATGTATATATTAATGTTTGAAGATAATTAATATAAAGTATTGCGAATTCAAAATGACTTAACTTTATAAAGAAATATAAAAATTAAATTACCACTTTGTAAGTGCAAACAAAAAAAAAAAGCGGACACATTAACGTAATGCATTACTATGTCCGTGATCAATGGGGTAAATTTTTGAAAGAAAAAGCTAATATTGAGAAAAACACATTAAAATTTAGAAACTTGCTCCCTCCAAGAAGTGAACTCGGCCAAATGATGGAAGAATTGAGCATTCCTACCACTACACTATCAAGCTACTTGTCGCTCTTTTTACACACAAAATTATTTATATAAAGTGGTTTCTTTATACGTAATTCCCTAAATTTCGTATAAAATTATACGTAGGTTTGAAAATTCTCGGGAGGGGGGGGGGGGGGGGGAGACCTCACCTAGCTCCGCCCCTGTCCTCTAGCCCCAACCAATCCATCCCCACCTCCAAGCCCTTCCCTTTTTCTTTAGAAGAAGCCATTTTCAGGATAGGCTCTTCTTTCCACCTCAACCCTTGCTCTGTTTTTAGGACTCACAAGACTAACCTACTACACGTAGACTATGCATTGAGTATAAACTATGCATTAGCCAAATAAGGTTGGCATTGATAGTTAATCAGTTAGCTGAAAACCAAAAAGAATCCCCAGTTCCCACCCCTTCCTGAAAATGACCTTGTTGTAGAAAACTAGCACCTCCACAAATCCAACTCCAAGTGAAGGGCAAAAACAAAGGAAATGAATGCACAGAACTTAAAGCTGAAGCATCGATATGTGTGCGACAGAGAGAAGCAACCTGTTCGAGGTGACCCTGGGTGAAGTAATAGACCTGATTTCCAACCTGAGGCAAGGAAACTAGTGAGCCAGCACAGACGTACCAGAGCTCTGTGTTTATTTTTGTTCCTTCCATTTGTCCTCTAGCCCCAACCAATCCATCCCCACCTCCAATTCCCTTCCCCTTTTCTTTAGATGACGCCATTTTCCAAATAGGCTCTTCTTTCCACCTCAACCCTTGCTCTGTTTTTAGCTCTCTGTAAACAAGTAAGTCACTTTTTGATTCAGGTGAAATGTATAGTTTATACTCAAGCATTTTCACACGTAGCGACTCAAGTGAATAATAACTCAGCGCTGAACTAACCTACTACACGTAGACAAATCAAGTATAAGTGTATAACACAATTAGGTGGCACATTGTAGTGGTTGACCAAAATTGTATTCTTGGACAGAAGGCTATTGTTATTCAAAGGATCAATCACTATCTGGTTGACAATTTAGAAGTCGAGGAATGAAGCATTTAGTACCAATTACTTCATTATGAAATGCGAATCATTTTCCATAAGTCTTTTTCCAATGGATTTGGATTTGTTTTTGAGATGTGGATTTAGGCGAGACATTCTCTATAATACAGTTTTACCATCCTCCTACGGTCCTACCTCTTCTTAGCTCTCACTCTTTGGAACCACAAGGCACAAGCAAAAAAAAAAAAAAAAAAACCCATAAGGCTCTCACTGTTTGGTGTTATGATTATTGATGAAGGGGAGTCCACGATGTTCGTGGACGTTGGCTTGAGGGGAGGATTATAGGGGTACAATCTATTACATAAGAAAAATAAGGAAAACTAAATTGTATATATGTATCCATTAGTACAAGGCCTTTCGGAAATGTGTCTAAAAAAATAAATTAGTGCAGACTTGAAAGCTGATAGCATCGTCATATTATGGAGTGTTTATTTGCATATACCAAAATGGAATTCATACTCCAAACGGTATTTTGAGACAATTTTTAGCCTTTTGATGGAGTGAGACTATGTAATGTACGTCGTACTTGAATCATTGATATATTGCTATCAATATTCCCCACACTATATCTACCGAATATCATATAAAATAGATTTACTATACTGGATTTACACTTATATATGCCTCATGGTTTATCTAGATGTCATGACGAAGGAACACGACATTTGACAATGTCAAAATGACAATGTGATAGTGTTCGTATGAAAAGATTAACTGGATTTTGACCCCGACTTTTTGCTTGACATGGGTAACAATGACGAACTACTATACGCCACTATTTGTTTATGATGGTAAATAATATAGCCAATTGAAAAGAATCTATTAAAATCACATATAAAAAAATGTTTGGATGAGGTTCACTTTTGTCGTACAGCTCTGTGTTGATGAATCATGAAGTTAAGTTCATAAATTAACGATGTTCGTACACTATGGGGTCGTTTGGAGGCTGGGATTCTCGAAATTGATGTATTTAATCAATTTGTGTATTTTAATTTGACGCATTGATTAAATGTATGAATTTAAAAAATACAATTTTTAGAGTTTTAAATTGTGTCTTTGTTTTAAAGAAAAGTTGGGTACACACATCTCTCGTCAACAATCTCACCTTTTGGATTGGGCTTAGATTTGGGCTCCCATGTTCGACCACGCTAAACCAAATAATTTAGCTCGGCCCACTAGATAACTCTTGTTCTGATTCCAGCCTGTTGTCTCTCTCTCTCTCTCTCTAACTTTTCTTTCTGGCTTCCGTTCTTCTTCTTCACTGGAGGAAGAAATCAATACACCCGAAAGCCCCGTTAACTCCGAAATTGAACCCGGCCGGATCAACAAAAACTTGCAGCTTTGCCGGACCAGTAATGGCGACTGCAATATTTCAACCCCTCCGGAATCTCATCCTTGCTCTTGCTCTGTCCTCGTCGCTGTGGATCGTGACTTCGGAAGACACAAACCGCGTCTTTTCGCCCTGCGCCGACACCAAGGTCCAGTTATCCGACGGCTACACCTTCGGGATCGTCTTCGCCTCCAGGAACGCCTTCTACAACAACGGAAACACTAGTGGAACCCAGCTGTCTCCCTGCGATAGCCGGCTCGGTCTCTCGGGCCAAAATGCTCAGCTCTCCGTCTTCAGGCCTAAAGTCGACGAGATCTCTATTCTCACCATTAATACCTCTTCCTTCTCTCCGGTGAGCTTGGCCCCTTCCTTCAATCGCTCTATCAGTTTCTCGATTTGGGTCACTCGTAATTGATTTGGAAGTTTGCAGTCTTTTTTTCCTTTGAGGCTAGGTGATGTTTGAATTGCATTTGACTTGGATTCGACTTGTGGTCAATATTGGGCTTAATCGGGAGTTTTGAGTGGCTGGTGATTGGGGATTTGACATGATGTTGTACGATTCTACTCAATTTTGCTTCATAGTTTGGTAGCTGATGATATGAGAAACGCCGCCACTTTTTTGCTGCTATAGAGAAGGGATGTTTGCGCGTTAGATTTTGAGCTCTGCACCTGTGCTCGGGGTGTACGCACTACGCATTATGGTGATAGAAGAAGTTTTGAGCTTACTGCCAGGAATGATCGTGACTGTGTGTGGGAATAGGAAGGATGCAATAAGATAGTTGGTGTCTAAGGACTGCTCTGAAGCAGCATAGGGTTTGGAGCTCAATGTAGTCAGAAAAATTAAGTTTTGGATTGTTCCAAGTATTATATTGCTGAAGAACTTTCATGGCTAAGCATTATATAGTGTCAGAGCTTAGACTGTGGTAACTGTAATCATGGGGTACTTCTCTCATGTGGAGATTAACCAACTTGGATACACTGCCTCCACCTTCGAAGCTTTTGGATTCTACAACCTTTAGGTGCTAGGAGCTTAAACATCCACTTGTCTTTTTCTCTAAGAGGAGGCTGAAGTAAGGCCAATAATGTCGAGGGAGCTTCGATTTTAAAGTTTGTGTTTGCACTATTTAGCTCTGAACAGATTGGGTGAAACCTTTTAAGTTGCAATTTGCCATTGCTTTGTCGGACTTGAAACTGGGAATAAGGGAGAGATTCGGATGGCTTTTGAAGAAAGGAAGGAGGTGAGAGGAAAACGTGAGGCTCAGAAATAAGCCTCCATTAGGCAATACTACGGACTATAAGTTAGAGGGCCACCGAGTTTTGGATACTTCTGCATATTTCACTTAGAATCATAGGATGGTGGTTACTTGATTATTGGAGAATTCAAATATCTCGTAGGGTGATCGCTTGTTGGATATGATCCAGTGTCTTAGTTCGCCCTCTCAATAGCTCCATGGCATTAATAAAATTTTCACTACATGCTCTGGCTGTTAATACATCTTCTTGTAGTTGTATGTCCTCTGGTACTGTGGATTGATTATTTTTCCTTGTAATGTTTTATATAGGACAACGTTGGTGGATACATGGTTGCATTTGGTGGCCGAAAATACGCTGCAAGGTCTCTACCCGCTTTTGTTGCTAACGGTACATACACTGTGACAAGTTTTACTCTGGTAAGTGAAGGTTTTTTAAACTCCATTTTATTTCTTCAATTTCACCTCTTTAAGACAATCCAAGTTTCAGGTCTCAGATTTCTAAGCTTCCTTAATTTTTTCTCCCTCCATCACAATGCAGGTACTCGAATTCCAGAAGGGTAGGCTGCAAAACCTCTTCTGGAAAAGAGATGGTTGTGCTAAATGTGGTGGCCCAAGTGGGCAAGGGATGGTCTGCCTCAACAATCAGGATTGTGCCATCAGAACTTCCAGCTGCAAGAACCATGGAGGTAACGTCGACTGCAGCATCGGGATCCAGCTAGCTTTCTCCGGCACCGACAAGCACTACTCAGCCCTCAACTCCTGGTACGAAGTTCAGAATCTGAGACAGTACTCCCTTTTCAAGCTCTACTCGAATCTTAGGGATTCCTTAACTAGCCAGTACGACTCCATCTTTAACTAGCCAGTGAGTAGAAAACAAACACGGAATCTTTCTAGTTCTTTTTTCCTTGTTTGGGAAAATGAGTCTGCTTTATGTCTATGGTTTCTTTCCATGTGTGTTGTAATATGTGTTCAGAGTTCCCAGATGGTTTCTGACAGTTCATTTTGTAAACCACCTCGACCGGCGGCCGAAAGCTAGTAATTAATTATCAGATGTGGAGATGCCATCTTGCATTGTGATTTATCAATTAGTTTGGTAAACAAACTCGTAAATTATTCAAGTGAAGTCGTCGGTCATAACTTAATGCTGCAACTTGCAGAGGAATCAGTCTATGATCTATAAAAACTTGTTCCATCCATGGTTGTGAGAGGCACCCATTACCATAGAATCATGAAAGGGTCTTCGCTCCTGAACCCCATTTCTCAGAGGCTACAAGGCAAGGTCGCCTTCATAACCGGCGGAGCCAGCGGCATTGGCGCTGCCACCGCCAGGCTGTTCGCCAAGCACGGAGCCAAGGTCGTCATTGCCGACGTGCAATCCGACCTCGGGCGCTCCGTCGCTCGAGAGATCAGCTCCGAGGTCTCTGACGACGATGCTGTCTCCTACGTGCATTGCGACGTGACCAGCGACGTGGGCGTCGGCAAGGCGGTGGACGCTGCCGTCGCGGCGCACGGCAAGCTGGACGTGATGTTCAGCAACGCCGGGGTGCCGGGGAAGGACAACATCACGATGAGCATCTCGACGCTGGAGCCGCGGGTGCTGGAGCAGGTGCTGGCGGTGAACCTGAACGGCGGGTTCTACTCCGCGAAGCACGCCGCGAGGGTGATGATCCCTCGGAAGAGCGGCAGCATCCTGTTCACGGCGAGCTCCGTCTGCTCGAGCTTCGGGGTGTCGTCGCACCCGTACGCGGCGGCGAAGGTGGCGGTGGTGGGGCTGATGAAGAATCTGTCCGTGGAGCTGGGGCAGCACGGGATACGGGTGAACTCGGTGTCGCCGTGCGGGGTGGCGACGCCGTTCGCCTTCGAGGTGACGGGGGAGAGCGACCCGGAGGTGATAGAGGATTACATCTCGGCGAGGGTTGGGCTGAAGGGCGCGAAGTTGCGGGTGGACGACGTGGCGGCGGCGGCGCTGTACCTGTCGAGCGACGAGGCGCAGTTTGTGAGCGGGTTGAACGTTTTGGTGGATGGCGGGCACAACTTGAAGGCTGCTAATTAGTGGCTAGTGGAAGGATTGGGCGACGACATTTTGGATGATTAATGTGATGTGAAGGAAGTCGTTGAAACTCGGGGCTTTGTTAATTGTCGTTATTATCTCGAGATTTGTGGATGTGGGATTTTGCTTCGGGCGTTTAGATTCCACCGACGACATTGACTATTTTTGTTTTGAAGTGTTCTATCATCTATGAATAAATAATGGCTTCATTGATAGCAACGGGTGGTAGATAGATGTTGGCATATCCATTATCCCATTTAATGTGGTTCACCGTTCACGTTTTAACAATGCTCATAGGCAAAGGTGTTAGCGGTAAGGTGAGCATTGAGGTCTTGCCTATCGTTTAACTCTCTTGGGAGTATCACCAAAGGTGGGCCCAAAAGAGAGCCTATTCAGCTAAAGGCAGCCCAAGACAATGGGCCGGGAGAAGAAGCCCACAAGGCTCATTGGGCAGCATAGGCATGGAGAACTAGGCACTAGGGGCCAAAGAGGTTCGAGCTGGCACATGATCCCCCGCCCGTAGGCGCCTGCTGCCAACAGTCAGAAGCCTGACAAGGTGGTTGGGACTTCTGACAGGAATGAAGGTACAAAGCATTTAATGGGAAGGTGACGTGGAGGAGATCAATCTCGAACTCGGTGAGTAGGCAGTTGGTAGCATTTACGCAGGTTGGATTCTCTGACTAAAACTTGAGCCCTAAAGGCACTTCTCTGACTAAGATACTGACTTGACCGTCGGAGGGCTTACGGGCCGAGGCGCACCCTCTGTGTTGGTGTGTGTAGGCAGGCGCCGGACAGGGAAGGACGCGGGCACGTTATTCGGACAACGAGGCACAAACAAACTCGCTTAGGTGATGCGTGTGTAGTCATTGGAAGAAAAATAGCAATTTGCACTTATGTTCATGTTAAAGCCCAAGACAAGCCAGCCCATGCCTCGGCTACTTGCAACGTGGAAGCTAAGCTTCCTCATACGAGTGGGAAAGGATGAGAGCTTGTAACCCTAGCTACTAGTCTTGATATAAGTTCCATTGTACATATCGTTGGCTGATCATCAAGCAATAAATAAGAGCTAAAGCTGGAGAGGCTGATCTCTCTCGTGGACTAGTCCCGATCAATCGGGGATACCACATAAACATCGTGTCATTTACTTTTCGTTCTCGCACTAGTTATCATAAAATGATTAATAACTTAGTTAATATTTAACGATATGGAAAATAGCTAAAAAATCATAGAAGCACAGCTCAATAGCTCACAAAGTTCTTGATCTATTTAACGCAGTTGATATTAATTTCCTCCCTTGATATTGATTGCCTAGCACCATCTAATTATGCATAAGAGAATGTTAGGGGTCACCTTACTCCATTGACTTGTTCCCACTTCCCAGTACCTAATGTTAGAAACCTATTCATTCCAAACATCTAACTAGGCGTGGAACCCCTAGACAGGGAGTATTGACATTGACTAGCACCCAAGCCTGCCAGAGCTTAAGCATAAACACATCTTTTTGAACCATGCCCATACCAATTACCAACAAAAGAATGGGTAAAAAATTCAAAACTATGTTGATATTCAATCGTGTTTTAGGTATCCATGTTGTAATTTTACTTCATGACATATTAGCATTTGCACGTATAGACATTATATTCATATAAGTGAAAAGTATAACAATAAATAATCAGAAAGGAAAAAATTAGTGGAAGAGAATAAAATTTCATGAAATTATATCATATATGTATGGAAAATTTCATGAAATTATACCATTACTGCCAAAACCCCTTTAGATTCTAACTTTACCCTATTCAATTAGGCCGGATTCGAATGGATATCCACAGATGTGAATACTTTTGTCATCCCGAGGTAGTGAATTTGTTTATTTTGAGAAAATGGTATGATACAAAGAACTTCATCCAATTTATAAAATTAGTTATGTTTTATGTTTTGATTTTTTTTCCATAATTTTGTGTATTTTTTATGTGTTGATCTTATCGTTTGTGAAATCGTATCGCATAGGTAGTTCGAGCGGAAAAATCTCATATCAAAATCTATAAACCATTTGATGATTTTTAGGGGGTTGTTTGCTTCATGGATTTGAAAATGAAGGTTTTCTAATTTAAAAACCTAAGAATTTGTTAGGGATTTGTTGCATTACGAACTTGAAAGAGTCCATTGTTTGCTTAGTTGATTTGATCATGGATTTTTGGGTTATGGATTTATATCCTTAAGATGTATATTACCGTACTACCCTTCTTCATGTTAAATTTATATAACTTTACTTGTGTTTCTAATTTTATTCTTGTGGTCATATTGTTAATTTGTGCTTTTAAATTGACATTTTATAGCAAGCTCGTAAAATTAGTAGCCACAAGATATTAAAATGTGTTGATAATCACAATATATAGTTGTAATCTTACAATTCTTGGCTAAATTTGTTTGTTCGAATTACTATTTTAACAACAAATGTAGTTGGTAGCTAAAGGGTATTACTTGCCATCCAAATCAAAATTTGAATCAAAATAATCATACGTTTAAATGTGTGGCAAAGAATAACTAATGACGGGCAAAGTTGGAATAAATAAATTATAAAGAGATACATAAGTCATTTTTCATGATAGATTTATTCCCTTTTTCAAATCCTAAATAAATAGGTGGGATTTACAAAAATCCGTGAGGCTAACGGATTTGGAGCCCCAAATCCATGGACCCCACGGACTTGGTTACCCTCCATTTTGGCTCAACAAACAATGACTTTTGGACAAATCCTTCATATGTCCGATTTAAAAACCAAATCCCACATTCAGATCCATAAAACAAACAACCCCTTAGAGTTATGAAACAGTTAAACTACGATTAAACAACAGAAATACTCTATTATCAAAATTTTCAATACAACCTTCAATACGGTTTTACAATCCCGATTTTCTTAGAATTGTATTGACAAATTGACATTCATAACTTCGAAAAAAAAATGAAACTCATCAAAAGGCAGCTGTAAATTAAACATCCATATAAGAAAAAAGACGAACAAATCTTATTATTGGGCCAAACCATAGCTGCAGTCACTGGCCACCGCCACTGCACATTCCGCCGGGAAACAAGTCCAGCTCACGAAGACCACCAACATCAGCCGTCGCCTTCTCAGAACCCACATCATCACCATCCCTCCCAAGCCGGAGCCCTAGCTCCGGCCCGCTGCTTCCCTCCTCACCGTCGCTCGGCCCCACAGTACGACGTCGCTTAGCCTCCTGATTCATTATTGCCATGTAGTCAATTTCCAGATCCGGCTTCCTATCCTCCTGATTCTCCCCCTCGACCCGACCGGGTGGGTTAGACCCAACCGGCCCGATCCGCTTCCGAATCTCTTGAATCTTCTCGTGGATCAGCCCAGCCAGGCTGTTCACCTGGGATGTCTCCAGCTTGTCCAGCCCATTCTCACCATCAACCTGTTAAAAAATATCGTAACGGGCCCAATTAATTTCTCCAATCACAAAATAAAACAAAATAAAAAAATGTGATTTGTCACGAAGTCACGACGGAAATACCACATTCATGAGCCACGTCAGCTCCATGTTCCGCAACTTCTGGAGCTGCTTCCGTTGGTTCTCCTGCGCCTTGAGAACGGCGTTACGCAGGTATCCTTTCTGGTCGGTCATGTTCTTGCTCCGGCTGGTCTTCGACGACAACGACGAGGATCTCATCAGCATCTGCTTTGCCTCGTCGTGCGACGGCCACACCGTCGGTTGCTCTTCCCCTAGGCCGTAGATCAAGCACATCCCAGAAACTCCGCACATCGTCGTCAGCTCGGTGACTTTCTTCACCAGCCCCGCGCACCGCTTTCTCAGGGCCGCCCGGCGTTCGGCCTCGTCTTCGATCCACTCCAGTTTCACCTTATCTCTCGGCATGATCTCGTCTTTCTCTTTTGGCTTTTGTTTTTTGGTTGTGGATTTGGAAGTGGGGGGTTGGGGGGAATTTATAGTGTAGGAGAACTTGGTGACTAAGGTTTTGGATGCTGTTTAATTAAGTAATTATGGAATGTGAGTGAATGGAATTCAAACTAGTGTGTTGAGATATGATAAATGTATAGGAGGAACCATAATTTTGGGAAGGTAAATCTTCTTTTTTTACTTATAATGGTAAATTATTCATAAATAATGATGATTCCAGTGACGTAACGTCCGGTCTGAAAAAAACGTTTCGTGATTTATTGAATCTCCTTAGGTGTTCATTCACGAATTTGAAAAAAGCTCATGATGTAGACTTACAGTTACAAAAATAGAGGGAGTGTGTTTAGGGTTTTCTCGCTTTGTTTTTTTTTTCTGGGACGGCCATTTGTCAACAAAGAGTCGGACTAGGCTTTTCTCATCTGTCCCTCATGTCGGTGGTGGACACGCCGGTGGTGATGCTCTATCCGTTTCGTGAGGTTGAGAGATCAAGAGGGCTACTCTCTTCGAGATCCGGCGATGATGGCGGAGAGATCATCCATGGATGATGCGGGGAGATCCAGATGTGATAGGAGGAGAGATCGAGAACCGACGGACGGAATGATGGAGAGGCAACGATGGCGGAGAGATCGAGAAGCGACGTCCGGAACTGAAAATCGATGTGTAAATTTGGGTTTTTTTGTATGGTTTAAGTCGGCAGAGGCAGGGATTCCAGCGAGGTGGGGGTGGAGGTAGGAGGAGATGGTGGTGGAGGCAGATATATACGAGCTCAAGGTCGGGTAGTGACCGCTGGGAGAAGCGGCGGAGATGGCTGATTCGCCTTCCCCTGCATTTTCTAGGTTTGGGGGTTGTAATTTCTGAATTTTAAAGGGTTCTGATTTTTGGGTTTGGGGGTTCGATTTGTAAGAAATTTTGTGGACTAATGGCAGGGGCGTTGATTGGAGAAAGCTGAACCAGATTGAATTTGTGATTTTTCTGCTCAGTCGTTGTGTTCTTGGATTGGATTGAGAGGTTCTGTTTTGCGTTTTTGTGGTTTTTGAGGAAGAAGAAGCTTTGCATTTTTCTCTTCGGTCGATGGAGGGAAAAAAGATTGCCCGCGATAATGATTCCTCCCTTGAAAAGATTTCATTGTAAATCCCGGCGAAAACAATCCGCCTGAGCTTTTATTTTGAATTTTTTTAATATATTTTTAGCGATTTTGCGTCGGTTGCTCCAAACAACACAAGAAAAAAAAAACCATGAATGAATTTTCCACAACATATTCGTGTCGGTTTGAACCGACACAAAATTGATTTGTGTCAGTTATTCAAGCGGTTGCCCAAAACCGACTCGAATCGGTTTAGTGCCGATAGTATTAGAGTCGGTTCAATGAATCAATTTTTTTAGTATAGATTTTTCTCTTACTAAACCATTGTTTTCTTGTAGTGTTGGAGGGAAGCCACATTCTTTGCTATCCCTTTGGCCTCGTGTAGCAGCACAGTCTTCCAACTCGGTTGGGCTAGGATAACATTGGTTGGTGGAGGAGGCACGTGGCGCTCCTTTGATTGCTCCAAGCTAAAGCCATGGCGTGGATAAGTTAAAAATGACTCGTTATAGCCGGTCCAAACACCATGAAGTGTTGCATCATCAACTTGCTTGAATCATACAATGTGGTTCCTTATCTTGTCAACCTTCCTCAAGGGAAAGCTTGTCTAAGGGAACCCCATGTTTTGAAGGTCCCAGCTGGATGAGACTGCAACTAATCCTGTGCTCTTCCTTTGAAAGAGAAATGAAAGAGCTTTAGGTTAAAAGCGCTCCTAAAGACTTTTAGACGCATCACATCGTGTGAGACCAATAAGAAGTCTTTTTGATGGTTGGTTGGATTATCATCCTCCTCACCATAAAAAGGACGCTCGGATTCTAGCATTAAGATCCCTTCGTTAAGTTCAGTATTGGAATGCGTGATTTCTGGTAAGGTGAAGCTGGATGAGCTCTGCGTTGCTTTTGGCCAAAAGAACTCCGCTAAGGTGCATAAGAGTCCTTCTCCCATGGCTTGAGCTTGGTTTCCTTGGCTCTGGATCAAGATCCAATCAATTACATAAGGCAAGATAGAATATGTACGTGACATGCTTATGCTTAGAATGGCGCTTTGGCCGCCGAAATATGATGAATTTCTGGCACCTGGGATGCTATATTTCAGCTTCCTGGGTTTTGTCCTGGTTCACAGTCCACACACAGACGAACAGACAATAATACATTTCGTCTTTGATTTTTGTTCATAATTTTTTTTAAATGTTAACGGTCATAAAATTATATCGAATGGTGTATCGAATAAGTCAATGACAGAATATTTTGTGAGTAACTCGCGATTTGTGTAATCATTTCAAATCGAAAATTTTATATATACTTGAATTTTGGTAGTCAATTTTTTCAGTCAAACCGGCCAGTACGGATAGAAACCAGTAAATATTTTGTGAGCAAATTCACCTGTTATCATTTATTTCAATTTAAAACACATAATTTTTGTACAACGCATAAGGTATATTCCATGCGAATATTGTATATGCGTTATGTCAATTAAAGTTATTAGATTTAGAAATACGAATTAAGGAAAGTTTATTTATGACTTAGAAAAACCAGTAATAAAACATCGAGAAACATGCAGATATTCTAGTTGCTGAAATCCAACAGGAATTTGTTGCGTTAGTATCTTAAGAAGAGGAATTTTACAATGCTCTATAGCATTGGTGCTATTTGTTTTTGTCTTTATGGTACAACTTCAAGTTGTACCTTTAATGTTGTGGTACAATTCCAGATTGTACCTATATTGTTTTGTACAAATTCTTTTATGGTACAACTTGAACTTGTACCTTTATGTGATGGTACAACTTCAAGTTGTGAAGTTGTACCACAACATAAGGATACAAATTCCTTTATGGTACAACCTAAACTTATACATTTTATGTTATGGAACAACTTTAAGTTGTACATTAAAGCATCAATGCTTTATAGCATAATAGAAGTGCTCCTTATTGAATGCTACTGAAGGGAGTTAGAGGTGCTGCTTTGCATAGTCATTACCGGAGTGCTCATTGCTCAGTAGGTTTGATTTTAATTGTATGTTCTTATTAATTTGGGTTCTTTATTTGTAACTATGAATTAGGAGGGGTACGTGATAAAGAAATATTATTCTAGTAAGGCACTTTTTTATGAAATGAATACAACCAATTCTTACAAAAGAAATAAAGAAATAATATTTGTTATATTGATAGTGAACATAATTGCATTGTATGAGTATGACAAGTTTGACATTGCAGATAAAACAGTTTAACATTGCAAATAGATTTTAGTAGAAGAGTTCATGAGTCAACCCGAATGCACCACTTTAAAACTCCCGATCAAGGCCCAAGTGTAAACCTTAACCGGGTGTAGTACAGGGCAAGTATGTTTAAATATCGATCCGGGTCGATTCATGTACCCCTATTTCGATTGTTTGTAACATTATCTAGCGGTTGGTTTTTGGTGAAAACAACAATCTAAAGTTAAAGTGCTTGCAAAGATAAATGAATTTGACACTAATTGAGAAGTCTTCACCCGGGTGTTGCTCCCCTTAATTAGCAATTAAGACTTGATGGATCGAATGGTCGTGTGTGGGGAGGGGATTGTAAACCGTAGGGAATTCTAACAAGTAGCCAAAGCCACCCTCTTAGTCTATAGGTCGAGGAAAGTGGATATGATCCAAGCCACCGATGTGACTCTCTCGACCTATCGACTAAGGATTGGTTAGACTTCACCCTCGAATCGGAGTTCGGACGGCCACCCACAACCAAACCCTAGGTGCTAATACGAAATCGGAGGTTCACCATGCATTAAACTAACTAGGATACAATGAATTGCCTAAGAAAACCCCAACATTCAAGCCTCTTTCAAAGAAAGGAAGGGGGTTCTCTCTCTACCTAGGTTAGAATGGCAATTAGATTGATAGACTTTCACACAACACAATCATTCATGAATAATACCTCCACATTCACATTAAACACAACTACGCACAAATCATTCAATTCATACAAGCATTCACATAATTGTAGCTAGGGTTTACAAACACCCAAGTGAAAAAGGGACTACTCCATGCTAGGAGAAGGGAAAAACACAAGAGAGAAGAAGGGAAACCATCAAAGAGATGCTAGCATTGCTCCTTGTGTTGAAAAGATCCTCCTTTGGGGGAGGAATTCCCAATTCCTTGCTTGAAGATGAAACCCTAGCTTCTCCTCTTCTTTGGTTCGTCACTTTTTCACTCTAGAAATCAGAAGAAGAAAAAGTTTCTCACACTAGGTCTCTCCCCTTTTCTCGTTTGGCTCAACCTCCTTTATATACCCAGATCGGGCTCAATTCGCGGTCTTAGTTCACGGCCGTGAACTGAAAGCCCATACCGTGAACCAATGATGAAACACGCCGCATCACTTAACTCTGTTTACGGACGGAGGTCTATGACCGTGAACTTGATCGTGTATAATGAAAACCATATGTGCTCTGGATGTATGCCAGTTCGCGAGAAACGCCTCCAGTTCACGGTCTTAGTGACCGTGAACTCACAGTCCAAACCTTGAACTGCTGATGTTTCCACCGTTTGACTTGATCTTTCGCCCTTTCGTCCAACTTCCGACTCTGGGGTTGGTTGCGCCTGTCGAAGCCTAAAAAACACCAAAACAAGGCACAACCCGGCGTAAAACCAAACCTCCCGGAGTAAAAATGTTTCAAACAACTAAGCAACCCGGGGGTAAAAAGTGTGAAAAATGAGCTCGAATCACTCCACAACACTTAGACGTTTGTTTGTCCCCAAGTAGACCATTTTCAACCTAGGTGATATCTCAACCTAACAAGATAACTTGGGGACAAATCAAAGGCACAGAGCGGTGAATCTCAATGACTATTTGGGCATCAACACATGAACCGCCTCAACAATACCAACATCCACCCACAAA